GATCGGCCGATTCTTATTGCGCTTATAAGCGTTATAAGGGTCGACCTTTCTGAATTGGCCGGTCCTTACAAAGTATGGAGATACCCTAATGCCTAGTCTATTTAAAACTACTTGAGGAATTTTTTTCTCTTATTTTTCAAATAATGCACAGCAAATTAACTCTAAGTATGCTAATGCAAAGCACTCAAGTTTTGGCAATCTTCATATACTAAGTAGGATGTGACCAAATTATCTGCCGTTTTCGAAAAGTTTGAAAATCAGCTGTTTCTGCAGATAAGAACTGTAAGTGGGGTTTTCAGGCTTTTCCTATATCTCTTATTCGTCAGGTACATAGTTTCTAGTTCCGAAGACGACAATGGTTTTAGTTTTCTATTCCATAACGTAAAAAGAACGGTCGGTTTGTCTGCTCGCGATTTCAAGAATTTGTTAACTTTTCCGTGTCTTCGTATTTCATACAAGTCGTATTTTCCACCACCTATCCGTTCTCCGTATGATATTCAAGCAGTCAAGCTTTTTCCATCTAGATGAACAATTGTTGCATCTATTGCCTTCCTCCTGATCTCCCTATTTCAACGTGAACGCGCTTATTCTTGATCTCTCCGATCGATCGACACTCAAGGCGATCGTAAAGTGAGAGATAAAATGAACGAAGATGCACAAAAAAAGGTCGTTAATCCACAAAATTGCGAGCGAACAGACGTTGTTCTAATTACCTTATGGAATAGGCAACCAAACGCCTGCTGGAGTATTACTAACACGTTGTTTCTGCAAAAGAAGAAATGTGAACAGAACCTAGGAAAATCCACATACTGTCCTTCCAGAAAGAAATCAAGCCAAGCTCTGGAAAAGAAGAGGCCGCAAATTGAAATGTATTCTTTACAGGTGCAAAAACAGCTGATTCTCAAGCTCCCCTGTGTCGGCGCGCTACCTTCTTGCCCGCAAGCGCTTTGATATGTTTAAGATATCTCCTCGTAAGGATCGGCTGACCCTCAACGTTCATAAGCACACTAAGGATGGACCGATAGGTACGGTACCGTTGCGTTGCCTCGGAGATTGATTTCAGTCGGAATTAAGCACAACTTCTAACTATTTCCCGCTTCCTTTCTCGGAGTTTGACTTACATGTGCGTCATCGAAGTGCGTTGCCTTGAAGAGATGAGATTTTCAATCGTATTCACTCGAAGTTCATTGTGTAAGCTTCCATGCTTCATGTCGACTCAATGCCATTATTACAACCTCTTATTTTGATGGTAAGTTCCAAGCCCATCCAATCGCTTAGTCAAACATTCTCACATATGTCAAGGCCTTTCGTAGGGAACGTCACTTGTTTCACTTGAAAAGTTGTTACGAACTTCAAAAAAAAAAGACTGAACGATTTTGACTCTCGAGATTCTATCGTTGTTTGCAGAAGGAAATCACGCCAAATTTGAAGAAGAAAGCGCGGCATAGTTAAAAGATGGGCTGTTTCCAGCTGATTTGATCTTTGCCGCAATGCAACTGTCCCCTCCCGATCGGTTGATCCTTATTGAGCTTGTAAGTACTGAAAGGATCGAGCAATCCTTATGAAGTATGAAGATTCCCTTTAGGAATCGGTTATACTCACTAGTGCTGAAGCTAAAGTGACTCAGACTGCCTTTTGAAGTTACTGCAACAGGCCCAGTGCGCAAAGTGATTTAAGCTGTTAAGCCGCTCTTTCAGAAAGTTTGTCATAAACTTTTTAGAATCTTTGATTAAATACAAAATTTAATGAGTTGCCTTTCATATTGCTACTACGTGCGCTCCATTTAGCATAAAAGAAAAAAGAATATATGAGAAACAACTTTGCGACAGTCCTGAAATGTACCGGAACTCTCAATATAAAGGCACTAAACTTTCAACAGGGTTA